GGAGGGGTGAGGCCTGCGGCCCGCAGTGCGCTTGGGCTCGCCAGGCGCGGGGAGGGCGGTGTGTAACGGCCGTAAGGCAAGCGGCGGTAAGCTGCCGAGGAGGCGGCGGGTGGGTTTTGTGCTCGTTTAAAAAAAAAAACCTACTCACGAGTAAAAACCTTGTGAGGCACGGCAAGCTTTCTGCTGAAAGCCCGTGTGCGATGTGACGTTAATGTGCGGCACTGTCCCGTGGCTCAAGGCTTTGCAAACCATAAGGACGTGGTAGACGCAGTGTGTTTGCTGGGAAAGGGTTAGTGCTTTGTGATATCCGGGGGTGAGGTTATACTTGTGATTCTGAGCTTGCTGTGTCTCTCGTGTAGCTTTCTGTGCTTGGAAGAGCCTGTTGTTTCTTGCATGTTCAGCTCTCTCCTGCCGATTATCCTTGCCTCTTTTGTAGGAGGATCTTAATCTTCCCAAAACTAGTTTTTACACGTTGAGCTTCCCTTATCAGCTTGGACTTTAATTGTTTTCTTTGCAGTATCATTGATCAGCGTTATTGCAGTATAACTGATAAGTAGCTAAATCCTTGAACAATGGTTCAAAATGGTGCTTAGGCTGTAATGTGCTGAATCTCAAAGATTATCCATTCAGTCTGAAAAGTTTACATGGCCCAAAAGGTGATTGTAATTGCCTGTGTCTCTTATTTTTTTTCCAGGCTTGTGATCACCATGGCTGCAGTGGATCGTTTCTTCCTCTTGTACAGAGAGATCAGCCGTTCCTGCAATTTTTACATAGAGGCCCTGGCTATAGTTGGAGCTTGGTACACAGTGAGAAAATGTGTCTCCCTCGCGTTCGACACTTACAGCATGCTTAGGTTGCATTTAATTCCGAAGCTGGGTGGTGAGATTGATCTTGTCAAGCGGTACGGAAAATGGGCCGTGGTCACTGGTAAGAGACTGAAGCAATATATTTGCTTATGTGTGTATAACATACCATGCCAGTACTGTAAAACTTGCTAGCTTATATTGCTGGGTGAGCTTTATGTCACAAGCTGGGGCCTGTATTATCTCTGGTTGCAAGTTAATCTGCTGGAGCAGTGACAGTTGTTCACTGCCTTACTAAATTCAGTTCCTGAGGAGATGGGCACGCTCAGTGTGTTGACTGACTGCTGGGAAAGAATCACAGAGCAATTTTCCCCCAAAATTGCAAGGTACACCCCAAATGCATACAGGCATAGATAGATGCAGACAAGATCCTCCTTCTGCTACAGGCTTTTCGCATGTGCTCAAGTTCTTCAACAAGCTTTAAGTCATGTAGCTGTGATGTCCTCGCCTTTCATTAAGGTTCTACTCAAGGCTCTCTGTTGCGTCATAGAAAATATAAAACTTGTACGAGGTGGGATTGCAGAAGGTTGCTACTGACAACGTTGTCTTTATTGTTGTGGTTTTGAGATCACCATATTCAGTGCCAGGTGACCTTCAGAGAATGGAATAAAGCTGTAATTGAAAGAACTGGCAAAAGGGAAAGCTGGGGCTGCTCCGATTTTTACCTGTTTGTTTTCTTTTCTATTACAGGTGGCACAGATGGTATTGGGAAGGCGTATGCTGAAGAACTGGCAAAGCGTGGTATCAACATCATCTTAATCAGCCGAAACAAAGAGAAACTGGAGGCTGTATCTAGAAGCATATCTGAAACCTATAAAGTGGAAACAGATTTCATAGTAGCTGACTTCAGCAAGGGGCGTGAGCCTTATCCAGCCATTAAGGAGGCTCTGAAAGACAGAGAAATTGGCATTTTGGTGAATAACGTAGGATTGTTTTATCACTACCCGGACTATTTTACCAACCTGTCTGAGGATATGCTGTGGGACATGATCAACATAAATATTGCTTCTGCTAATATGATGATGCATATTGTACTGCCGGGCATGGTAGAGAGGAAGAAAGGAGCAATTGTGAATGTTTCTTCTGCATCCTGTTGTCAGCCGACACCAATGTTGACAATCTATGGAGCCTCTAAAGTAAGTTGGGGTGTAATGTTTAATGGCATGCACTGAGAAGTAGATGCCTTATAGGTTGGTTGGTTGTAAACACATTCAGCAAGGATATCAAAATACACTTGAAAGTTTTCTAGGAATTTGTTCAAATATTGGAGGTGAATGTTACATGTAATATGCAGTAAGCTCTTTATCCTCACCAATCCTGGGCTGTGAACCAAAGTCTGGGCTGTTTGGATTGTGTGTGAAGTGTGGCATAACGGTAGTTCTAGGAAAAATGTTATCTTCCTCAGAGGAACGATGTGCAAAGCGGCAGTTCTGTGACCCACTGAAAGGGTCAAGAATTTCACCTCTCTCTCCTTCAGCTTGAGATGTACCTCAAGCTACTTACCCACTAGTACTTGGTAGCAAGACGGGCTATGCTCATGCTCAAGCCACCACTGTGACAAAGATAGTGGCCAAATCAAGCCATTACTTCACCTAACACCAAGGGGCAGAAGGCTTCTGTACCATATCTGGGGAGAAGCAAAAAGAACTTTTCCCCCCTGTAATTATTCTTCCTGAGGAGATCCAGTCAATAATGAATAGGATAGGGCAGCTGGGGGGTGCTGGAAATACGAATGTATGTGGGAATGTGGATTTACACTGGATGACTTGCTGTTGAATTCACAAAAGGAACTGAGATTGTAGAAGGATCTCATCTCAATCCAGTGTCTAAACAGTAGTAGTTATTGCTCCCAGCTGTCGGTGGCTGCCCTCAGCCATAGCCTGACCCCCGTGCAGCCTGGCTTCTGGGATAGCGAGTACTTCCCTTTGCCTGGAGAAAAACCAGTTCTTATTTACCCCAAGGTATAAAATTCCTTGCAGATTTTCTTCAGCGTGGAGACTGGCTTAAGATTCCTGTTTCTGTTGCAGAGCATCTTCCACCTTGGTTATGCTAACTGTATGTAGAACTGCACTCTGAACTAAATCAATTAAAAGGCCTGAATGAAAAAGAACAGAACAAAAGCAAATGTACCAAAATTTCTTCCTTTAGCTGGGATTGTTAATCCAAATCCAAGGTCAGCAATCCAGTTCAAAGCCTGGCCTCTGCACAGCAGTGGGAACAAGCTGCTCTAGCATCCTCAGCCTCTTTGTGTGTGAACAGTGCAGGGTGTTTGAAGTGGTTGGTTTGTTCTGTTTGTTTTCCTAAAGCAGGTGTAAGAGCATTCGTAGAAGATGCTCTCCCAACAGTTTGCTGGGAGTGAGGCTTTTGTGAGGCTGTTTGGGAGCAGAAACCTGTTCACTCACAAGCTGAGTCTAAAATGCTCTTTCTTGGGGGTAATTGGCTGTGCGGCACAGCAGTAGCTTCAGCATGGCATCAGTGTTGCTGTCTTGATAAGACTGAGGAAGCCTTATTTTTCCCATCTCTCTCTGGTTCCAGCAATCCCAGTTATCAGGCTTGTGCTTTTTATGTTATTCTGTAGTAGTAACATGACCTAAAGGAGGTAATACAGACACATGTAAACAAGTGCATGTTGAATTTTGCACAAGGGAGTTGCAGGAAGTAATTAAGCTAACTTCTGGGGAAGATCAGTTGAGTATGAAATTCACCTGTAAATGTATTAAAGAATGGGCCTTCATTTTGTCCTTTTGACAACAGTACATACAGTTAGCTTTAGAACGTCCCCTGCAATGCCCCCAAACCAAATGAGGTGTTTGTTTTGGATGAAATAAATGTTGCTGTATTGGTTTTAAGCAGAAATTATCAGATTGTTTGTGAAATTCACATCAGAGAGTTAAGCAGTCGCTTTCTCCTGTAAGTTACTGTACCATTGCAGGTTTTTAGCAAACAAATAGCAACGAATAGAAATGTTGGCAATGCTCTAGAAAAGTGTATTTTTATACCATTTATTCAAGGTTCTACTTTTTTAGCTGATGTATAAAATATGCTACAACTTTTCTGTAATTTTAATGAAATTCTGCTCTGAGACTTGATTTTTTTTTTTTAAAAAAGATAAAAAGATGTCTCTTTCTGCTTTTGTTTTTCTAGACCTACTTGGACTACTTCAGCAGAGCACTACATTATGAGTATGCCTCAAAAGGAATTTTTGTTCAGAGTTTAACCCCATTTGTAATTGCTACAAAAATGGCAGCATGCAGCAGTGCTGCATCGAAGAGATCGTTCTTTTTTCCTTCTGCTGAAGAATATGCAAGTCACGCTATTTCTACTCTTGGGTTATCCACAAGGACTACTGGTTACTGGAAACATGCAATCAAGGTAATGGAATTCATTAAAGTATTTGTGTTTGTCAATAGAAGTAAATAAGCTGTTTAATTTTTTAGGAGTCTGAATGAAAACTATGCTCATATTGTGAAAAAGTGCAGTATATGTTTTAGGATTTAAAGGCATTGTGCCATGTTTTCTCAGTAATTCTGCTTTCAAAAATTCTGCGCAGGCATGCTTATTTTTAGAATGAGAGAGTGAATCCAATTCCTACTTGAAATGCGCAGCAAAAATGGGAAAAAGTCAACTTTTTATTCAAAAGTTGCTGACTGGGCAAGCGTTTCACTGTCTTCTATCAACAGAAGTATTTTTTTTTTCAATCTTAGTTTATTGAGCGTATTTCTACTTTCGGGAAGAGTGGGTAAGGAGAATGGAATAATAGCAGAAAAACAAAGCCCACATTTTTATTCCAGGCTATCTGGAAGCAGGTCCTCTGTATGTTAGGTTTTCATTTTTGGGGGCAGACTGTAGGCTGCAAAGTAATTTTATGAACACTGGTCATATCTCATGTGTCCTACTCCATGGTTTTCTATAGCATTAGGTCAAGTAGAAGGAATTGAAGAAGTGGGGATTAGTCCAAAAGGAATAAAAGAGATGGAAGGATTCTGGCAAGATGTGGCAATTAAAGGAAGTGGACAATGTTGCTGTTGCAAACTTGAGCAAACCACTTCAGGATTTACTTGCAGAACCTAACGGTTCAGCTGTGTGCACTACTTCCAAAATGTCTAAATATATTTACTTTCAGGGGGTTGAATTTAAGACTTAGTTGCTGATGTTTGAGCAGGTTTTGCCCTGCTTTAGTGGTAATTTGAGAAACTGTTTAATGGAGTATATCTTAATCTCTCCCTTCATTTCTTGTTTTTCTTTTCTCTTGTCTCCCTGCGCCTCTCCACAGTTCACGCTGGGCGAGCGCCTACCTGAATGGATCTGGGCATGGTTTGCAATGTATTTTTGCAGAATTGTACGCAAGGAAGCTTTAACATGCAAAGGGAAATAAGAATATCCAGATGTCCTGCGTAATGACTACTATATCCTGATCAGAGTGCTGCAAAACTGTTTAGTGAACCTTGGTGGACTTACTGTAACTTATCCTCGATAAACAAGCTACGTGTAATCTGCACATCACAAGTCTGGATCCTCTCTGTAGCCTTGTATTAAATAGCTCCTCCATTGCTTTCCTCCATGACAAAGAGCTGATCTTGTTGAGGTTAATCTCTGTTCACTTCTTCTTCAAGGTAATTGGGCAGGAGCAGGTATAGTTTTAATTCTGACAGTATATGACTGTCTCTTGCATAGTGCTACATGATGTCAACTTGTAAAGTTGACAGAATTTGAGAATTCTCCAAATCTGTCAGAAATGGGCCCCCTAAAATCACACTGTTCAAAAAGACAATCCTAGTCAACTGTGTTTTCGTCAATATGTAGTTCTAACATTCCTGTCTTCTAAGGGCAGATGTTTGTGTGTTTTAAGTGCAAATGTTGTTGCTTTTGAATTACGTTATTTAAGAAACTTCTCAAAATTAAGATGTATGGCAACGTAATACTGACTTGGAGGTTGTTTAAGTTACTGAAAAGGTCTTACAGAGCTGTAAAGGAATTTGGAGATAAGCCTGTTTGCTGTCTTGTTCCAAGTGTGAATGATCTTGATAATACTTTAAATATTCCTTCAGCAATCTGAAATAGGGCTGGAGAATTGCATAAAGAATGTAAAAACACATTAGCTAAAGAAAAATAATGAAGAAATAATGTTTTGATTTAAAAATACTACTTGGATTCCCAAGATAATTAAACCCCCCCACCTTATTGCAGTTTTGATGCTGTATGATTTTGATGCTTTTGTTTATAAAAATAAATACATTTATGTACTTACTACGCTAGGAGGTCAGTATACTACGCTAGCTTGCTTCCTGGGATCCCTACTGGAGGATATCCAACAGTTGCACCGTGTTGCTGAATAAGGCAGTGATGATTATGAAGTGGTTATCTTGCTCCTCTACAGTAACCTCTGGACTGTTAGAAACTTTTATCAGTAGGTTTTGTAGAGAGTAAGTAAGAGACTGGGTACAAATGTGTTTGCAAATAACTTAGAACTAAGTTGTTCTAAGTTGTGTTGTGTGAAAATGCTGATTAGAGCTCTTAAAAAAAAAAAAAACCAAAACCCACACACAAAACCCAAACAAACAAAAATCAACCAAAAAAAATCCCAACAAACCTGCCCCCAGCTTTCACGACTGAACACTCTGCTTGGCCACATACGATGATACTGATGCTCGAGTTTGTTGTCCAGGTTGAAATTTAGGCTGTGGTTTTTGTAATGAAGGAGCTCCCTACCTTAGCACTTGTTCCTGTTCTGTTGCTGCAGCCCTCTATTCTCAGTTCTTTAGGGCAGAAGGAGGGAGAAGACAGGGACCAGTCGGGGTTTTGGGGCAGGGACTTGAGCTGTCTGCTGCTGACCTCCTCTTCACTGACCGGAGACCTGTTTCCTTCAACTGTACAGTGTAAATGTATTAGGTGTTGTGAATAACGACTTAAGCTTGTTTGCAAATGAGATTTAAACAAATGCATTTATTTGTAGTAAGGGCTTAAATGACGCTTGAGAGCTGTGAAGCTGTATAACGTTCTACTCCTGTGTCTCCCTCACGCTCCTCAGGCCCTGCCTGCCCGTCCCTGTCGGTAACCTCCGCACCTCAAGTTTTCCTGGCAAGAGTTAGACCCCGCTCAGCCACATGTGAATAACCAGATTCTCACACAACCTTCTTCAGAAGGCGGCTGCGGCGCGGCCTCCTCACCG